ATCTGTGAGAGCACCAAATGTATCTGTGAGAGCACCAAATGTATCTGTGAGAGCACCAAATGTATCTGTGAGGAGACAACACCAAGAGGAGGAAACACCCAATGAAATCTGTGAGGACAGAGCACCAAACGTGATCTGTGAGAACATCAAATGTGATCTGTGAGGAGCCAACACCAAATGTGATCTGTGAGGAGAGAGCACCAAACCATGCTGGGGCTGCAGGGCAGGGATAGAGTGGATGGGTGGGACTGTGGGAATCCTGAGCACCCCCAGCTTTGGGAGTCCCGCACCCGTGACTTGGCTCAGGTTTTCCCTCCTGAATCCGGTGGTTCCAGGACTGGAGCTGTTTGGCTCCGGCCGCAACTGCACCGAGTTCCTCCGGGCTCTGCAGAGCTCAGTGCCTGTTGTGGGTCACTCCAGCCCTTCTGCCAAGCACTTTTCCCACTGGGGTCAGAGCAGGGTGTCAGAGTATCCCAAAGCTCTGGATCCAGGGCTCACCTGGCGACTGGGATCCTCCTCTCGGAAGACAAAGGGGCTCCCGAAGCGTCGCTGGAGAGCGGCGTTCATGGTGAGCTTCAGTGATTTGAACTTCAGCTGCACAAAGAGGGGCTGGAGATGAGCATCACGCCTGGCAGAGGACCCACCACCCCAGGGGGTGCCCCCTCCCTGGCTTTGCCCACCCCCCTGTGGCTTTGCATCCCTCGGGAATGCTGTGTGCACCTCCGTGGGGGAGGAGGATGCAGGTCAAGCAAAGAGCGCGGCTGAGTGACAGCAAAAAGGACTTCTGAAATGAATTAAATTTGCATGAATTAATTAACTAATTATCAGATTAAATTCCAGCTGTGTGGGATGCTGGATGCACACACCGATGGAATATTGTGGGCTTTGGAAACAAAAATCACCCCACACGTCTGGGCTTAATGGGAGGGAAGGAATCAGGACAGGAAAAGAAACCCCGGCATTTTTGGGATGTGAGGGCTCCTTTGGGGGATTCCTCCTCAGAATCCACGTATCCACTTACTGCTTTCAGAGACTTCATCCACAGATTGCCACGCAAGTGCAAGTTCATCTCCTCGTTGGGGGCTAATTTCACGTGGCAGTCGATGGAAACCACGTCGGAGTTGCTGTGGTTCTGCAGGGGGAGAGCTTTGTGGGGTGGGAGCAGCGCTGGGGAAGGGGGGAAAACCCTCTGGGATCCATCCCTGGCACACTGAGGGGAGTGACAACCAGACCTTTGTGCCTGTGCTCCCCCGTGGCTGTGGGGCATCCCTGCTCCAGGGGTTTCCCTCAGTTTTGGGGTCAGCCCAGCCCCGGGACGCAGGATCAGCCCCATGGGGTGTGTACCAGGTGTGGGGTGCGGGTCAGGTCCTCCTCAGCTGGTGTCCTCCGGTAGTCAGTAGTGTTCCCCCAGATGTTGCAGGTCGTGTTCTCCTGGGGGAGAAGGCCAGGCGTGGACACAGGGACCACAGGGACCACTCCCTGTGTCCTGCCCTGAGCTCCCATCCTGGGGGAACTGCGGGTCCTGTCACCCCCCGGGCTTTGATGGCGCTGGGATTGCACTGGGATTGAGTCCTGGCATCCCACTGGAATTAATTCCAGGGGTTTGTGCCTGGCAGAGAGGCCCATCCAGGATTCCAGCCACGTGTGCTGGGGTGTCACCGGTGGCACGGGGACTTTGCCAGAGCTGCAGCACCAAACACTCCATTGAGGCCAAATCCACCCATAAACACACTGTCCCTGTGCCAGGCTCCTTCCATGGGCTCAATCCACCTATAAACACACTGTCCCTGTGCCAGGCTCCTTCCATGGGCTTGGGATGCCCCGGGATCTGCTCCCAGCCCTCACAGCCCTTCCATGCTCACTCAAACCCAGAGTTCACCCCAGGCACAGCTTCCCAGACCCTCAGGAATTCACTGCACGCTGGAGGGAGGTTCAGCTCAGAGAAATATTGGGACTAAACCCTTTGGCCACTGCCCTTTTCCATGTTTCCAGCCAAGGGAATGGAAAAGGGAGGGCCCTGGGCGGGAGCCAAGGCTGTCCAGGCAGGTGTTGCAAAAGAGACAGACCATGGCATTCCTCCACCCCATCCCCGTGCAGAAGGGACCCTGGATTGGGATGCAATCCCCTCCTACCTGGTCCAGCAGGAAGTCAGTGAGGAGCAGGAGGCGGTTGCCCGCCCGGGTGGCCACGGGGACGGTGATCCTGATGGTCACCCCCTCCACGGGGAAGAAGCCCAGGTTCTGCAGCTGGGAGGGGAGAGGACAGGGATGTGACCGTGGCACATCCCACCTCTGGGATGGCACCTGGGGGTCCCTCAGCTGGTTGGAGCCCCCTCCTCACCTTGAAGGTGCAGTGGAAGGGGGGGCCGATGCTGTCGTATCTCTCCAGGGAGCTGTTGGACCTGATCTCGTAATAGTCCAGGCTCGACGTCCTGTCGTGACAGGGGATGACAAGTCATGAGCTGGGCTTGCAAGGAAGCACCCCAACCCCTCCAGCCCCTCCCCAGGCAGGGCTTGAGGTCCTCCTGGCTCCATTTGGGATGGAAACCAGCGCCCGACTCCACCTTGGGCAAAAAGAAAGGGGGATTTCAATGCTACTGCAGGACTTTCCCTTCCTTTGTAGGATTTTCTCGCCTTTTTAATAAAACAGAGACATCCAAGGCCCTGGCTGAGGGTTTGAATGTCACGTGTGAACCAGAGGAGGTAAATCAATCTCTGTTTTGCAGCTGGAGAGGAGGGGAAGGAGCCAGGAGCATCCAAAGGGTCCTGTGGGATCCCGTCCAGGAGCACCTGTGATGGGACACGTGCTCGCCCATGTCATGACACGGGACACATGGCCCCAAATCCTCACATTCTTTGCAGTTATTTCCCCCTTATTTCACCCCAAGCTTCCCAAATTTGATATTTTTTTGGGGCTGTTCTTTCCCTCCAAGTTTCCCCTTGGAAAAGAACAATTCTGATATTTGTTAAGAGGAGAATCCCTTCGCTCCCCATAAATCCCGAGTATTAAAGTGGTTTTATTTTCAGTGTCTTAGGCCAAAAAATCCCCAAAAATATAAAATGACTGAAGGTCTCAAGAATCTCCTAAGGATTACAGTGAACAGTGCCAGGGAATGTGCTTCTGGGGTCCATGATTTTTCCTATCATCAGGTTAATAAATTATTTGTGCCTTCACCCCTCGCTCTCCCAGACTTTAGTTACTGGTGATTCCACACACACATCCCTCAGCTGAGCTTCTCTCCCATGCCTTTAGTGGGATGGCAAAAGGCCCAGACACTGGAAACACCTGTTATGGACATTATTACCCGCAATAAGTACTTTTATTCCCTTAGAAAATTGCCCTCACACCTCTTTAATAACACTCGTGCCTCTAAACGTGGTGAGAGCCCAGCAACTCGTTGCTGGGTGATTTTTATAAGGGATGTCCCTGATTTTATGGGCCCTTCAGCCCCTGAGTTTTTTTAAAGAGATTCCCCAAATTAAAGCTCTGTTTCAATGCAGCTCCCCCCACCTGGTTTTTCCCTGAGGGACACCCTGAAACCTGGGACCTCCCAGGAGCTGCAGCCCCTTCCCAAACACACACCTGGTGAAGAGCAGGTCGGCCTCGTACTTCAGGTGGAAGTTGAGGTGGGCAAAGTTGTCCTCCTTTGTGCTCTCCTTCTCCTCACTGTCACTGCAACAGCAGCAGGGCCAGAGGGGGTGAGGCAGGAGCCTGATGCCCTCTGATATTATTTTTGGGGGGGGGGGGGTCAGAGGAAGGGAAAGGGCTGAACTTCAGCTTTTTGGTCAAAGTGTAAAGATAAGCAATTTTATTCTATGATTTTTTATTCATCTACATGAAAGATTAGAGAGAGGTGTCACACCCAGCAGCCTCTGAGTGGTGCAGGTGAATCCCCCTCTGCTCTAATAACTGATGAAAATTGGAAAAAAAAACATTAATCTGTAGTGCAATTTCCCTTTCCTGTTGGAAATCTTTCCCTGTGCAGGAAGGGTGAGCAAGGAGAATTTTGAGCTATTTTTCCTGGGAAATATTTGCAGTGTGAGGGTGGATGAGAAAGCAGCACTGGCTGGAGATCCAGCAGAGCCTGGCAGTGACTGCACAGCCTCACACACACGGGAAAATGGTGGATATAAATATATAGATAAATAAAAAATAGCCTGATTTGTGAGCACAGGGATGGAAATCAGGTTTCCTCGTGGGTATTCCCTTGGTAAAGCCTCCAGGTTGCTCCAGGATGCTCCATCCCTGGAAGTGTTCAAGACCAGGTTGGGCAGGGCTTGGAGCAACCTGGGCTAGTGGAAGGCGTCCCTGTCCATGGCAGGGGGTGGCACTGGATGGGCTTTGAGGTCCCTTCCAACCCAAACCATTCCAGGATTCCGTGATCCTGTTGCCCCCACCAAGATGTTGAAGGGAGAAAGCCACCACTGACCTGCTGGCAATCATGTAGATCTCCATGTTCTCCAAGAAAACCGACTTGCTGAATTCAAAATCCAGGCGAAAAGCCACCTGTGGAGTGGGAAACAGAGTGGAGAAAACATTAGGGGGAAAAAAATCCCCCCGGAGGGACGTGGAACTCTGGGTGAGAGCATCACCGTGATCCCAACAGGAGATGAGCAGAGCCCTTCCAGGGAGAGAGGAGGATTTGCAGGATTTATTTCAGCCTCTCCTGCTGCATTTTTTTCCCCCTGAGGCTGGAGAAGGGAGCAGCTCCCCTTTGGAAGAGGATCCCTCCCGGGGAGCGGCAGCGAGAGGCCGCTGCGCTCGCTCCATCTGCGGCCCGGGGAGGGAACTGAGAGAGCCAACAACAATAAAATGTGATAAATGTCACATCTGCAGCCTGTGGCAATGACCTCAAACTGTCTGGGACAGCACAGCTGACTATAATATTAAAGCTCCTGCTGCTCTGGGGCCAAATTTCCATTTCCAGCTTGTCTTTGTTTTGGCAGGACCTGCAGTACCTGGTGCCACGCAGATGCATTCCCAGCCCCCCCCCCGAGGTCATGGGGAGCTGGGCTGGAGCTCCTTGGGCAGCCACAGGCATCTGAGAGGGCTTTTTTGGGAGCCTGAAAGCCGAGAGAGGTGCCTGGAGCTCATTCATCATCATCAAACTTCTGACAAGTAAAAGCTTCAGGCAGATACAGGAGCTGGGGAGATTTTATCTCCACGTCACACTCGTGTTGGCCACTCTTCCCACGAGGGTGCAGGGTGGGATTTCACACGGATCCCCAGTGGCTGCATCTCCTCACTTTTCCTTCCCACCTTATTGCTGCATTTAATGTCTGCAGAGGGCTTTATGTGATATAAAAACGATGCCCACAGGACCTGAGCTCATCCTGGGTGCTGGGAACCACTGGGAGCTGCAGTTCAGAGGATGCCACCAGGCCAAGGGGGCTTGGGCAGGCTCAGAGCAGGATGCAAAGGCACCTCAGAGCAAGGAAAACCAATCAGGCAGGGAAGGGTGACAGCTTCCTCCTCATGCCCATGGAGCACCAGGGAAGTCACCATCCACGGTTTGAAGCCAACATTAAATTGCTGCAAAGGCCTGGAGTCCAGTTCTGTGACCTGGAGGAGCTGAGTTTGATTTTGGGGCTCTCCCAGCATCAAGGCAGCACCTCAACCATCCCTAATGCACCTTTCAAACTCCAGCAAAGGGCAGAGAAAGAGAAGAAACCAAATATTTGTCTTTTTAAAGCCACGTTCAAAGCTGCCCAGCCCGCGGATGGAGGGGAGTGACCCTGTGGGCACGGCGGGGGCAGAGGGCTCCTGTGCCACAGGGGAAGCCTCAGGTGGGCAGGAGGGGACATCCTTACCTTGGCCTTGGCTCTGAAGAAGGGGTAGCTGACGTTGCACACCCTCTTGTTGGGGTGCCTGTCATCAGTCGTACAGTCAATGTTGACGTCGGTGTCGTCCTAAAACGGGACACAAAATGTCCATGACCTTGGAATGAGCCCCATGGCCCAGCTCCTCATGAGAGCAGGAAATGCATCCATGGGGCTCAAAGTGGGCTTTAACTTTGGGAAAAACAACCAACCAGGCAACAAAACAACAAAATAAGAAAGTAATAAATGAAAGAACAATAAAAACAACCAAAAAACCAACCACCCAAACCACCCTGCTCACTGCAGGCTGGGAATCCTTCCCAGGCATTCCTTGACATTCCTGGAGAAGGGCATTTCTAGCAAACAACTTCCAGCTTTCTGATCTAAATCCTCTTTATGAATTTAACTACAGCAGCGAATGAATGAGCCCGATTGTTCTTGGCCCTCTAATCGGGAAGGAGAAGATTTTCCTGGGATGAGGAGTCACCAGGAAGCACCAAGGGATAACAGGAGCTGGTTTTCTGCATGGCCACCAGCTAAACCGTGGTATTTAATTTCCTCATCTCAACAATTACATTCCTGCTGCTGGAACACCTTCCATGGCTCCAGGGCACTGCAAAGCCCAGTCCCAGGTGGAATGGGAAGGGATGGAATGGGACACCAACCCTGCTCTGCCTCCTCTGCAGCCCTACAAGAGGTTGTAGCCTGGTTGTGAGCAGGAGTCCACCCTCACCATGAGACAAGGAGCTATTCCAGCTCCCTATTTTATCCCTGGGTTAGACCCCTCGAGGGTCTCAGCTGGAGCTGCTGCCACTGGACAAGTCCTGCCCAGGAGCCACAACATCGCAGCCTTGGCAGCCACCAGCAGCAGCCTGGAGCTTCCTCCCACTCCTCTGCTGAGATTAGGGACTTTTTAGGGCCACAGCTACTTTTTATTTACCTGACACATCCACCCATCCCCAGGGTTTGGCAATTTGCTGATGTCTGAGGAGCAGCAGCCAGGACCCCTTGAGCAGTGTTGCTTCCACAACCAGCTGCAAATATTCCCTACAACCACTGCTGCACGGGGCTTTCTGTCATCCTCGCTGGCAGGGTCCCCCCCCCTCACTTTATGTGGAGCAAATCCCTCAAAAAATGCATTTTTCTTATTTTGTGGGCAGCGTGCCCCACAATTTTCCCTTGGCAAGGCCTGGAGGAAAACAGAGGCAGGAGATGGGATCTGTGGTGGGGATGAAGTCATTGGGGGGGGGGAGGGGGGATGAGGAAGGGCTCAGCAGCATCAGCACATTTCCCAAACCTCACTGGGAAAAGGGAGGAGTCAAGTGGAGACCAAGAGAGTGGTGGGGGTGACATTTTGGGGAGGGTGGGAGTGGATGGGGCACGAGGGGCTCATCCAGGGGGCAGCTGTAGAGAGGTGGCATCACACTGAGCTGTGACCACACTCCCATTATCAGCCCTTACTTCCAGGAGTTACATCTCAGCTGTAAAAATCCACCCCTGACAGGAACTTGGCCACGGGCAGGGAGTATTTTTAAACTCCCGGAGTAGAAAAATAAAGAGGGGAAATAATTTCATCTGCCTTTGACCTTCTTTCAGGCTCTTAAAAACCTCTGGGTTTCCAAAATAAAGAGCTGCGAGGGCCGTAAGTGCTTAGAAACTAAGCCCATAAACACGCCTGATTTATGAGGGATGGAGACACTTTTGGGCTCTGCTTTGGGACGCAGCTTCCTCCTCCAGCCGGGATTAGGAGCGCCCCTGGAAAGGCCTGGGGGAGCCTCACCTTGGGGATGAGGCTGGCCAGCTGCAGGTTCCTGGAGAAGGAGATGTTGAGGACGGTGCTGTAGGCGTTCTCCCCGCGGTTCTCCAGCGTCGCCTCCACAGCCACCCTCCTCCTGCCGCTCTCCAGGACGGACACGGACGTGTCGAAGGAGAGGCTGAAGGCCGAGCATTCCGGGGGGCCCCTCCGGAGCACCCGCCGGCAGAACTCCCTGAAACAGGGGGGCAATCCCCGGGTTTTTATGCCCACAGTGCACGGAAATCCCTGCTCTCCCTCTGCCCCGGTGTGTTGCTAAGGAAAGAGGGATCAAATCCTTCCCGTTGTCCATTGGTTTCCTTGGGATTTTCAGCTGAGGGGGTGGAGCTCCCTCAAACATCACCAGAGGACTCAGGACAGATGGGATGCAAGGAAGGAATAGATCCCACGCCATCAGCAAAGGGCTAGACCAGGTGGCTCCAAGCCCCATCCAACCTTGGACACTTCCAGGGATCCAGGGAAGCTACAGCTTCTCTGGCAAAACTGTGCCAGGGTTCCCCACCCTCCCAGCCAGGAATTCCTTCCCAGTGTCCCATCTAACCAACCCCCCTTGTTCTGTCCTTCCAGGCCTTTGTAAATAGTCCCTCCCCAGCTCTCCTGGAGCCCCTTTAGGCCCTGCAAGGGGCTCTCAGCTCTCCCTGGAGCCTTCTCTTCTCCAGGTGAACCCCCCCCAGCTCTCCCAGCCTGGCTCCAGAGCAGAGGGGCTCCAGCCCCCGGAGCATTTCCGTGGCCTCCTCTGGACTCACCAAATAACCTTTCAAAGCTCTTTAGCCAACGAGCTGTGGTGTGTAATTATTTCCTGTGCATGAGTCAAGCCTGTAATTGCCAGGTGGGTAATGCCAGCCTTGCATTTATTCCCCCCCCTGTTATTTACTGATTTGTCTCCCTGGGACTCATCACCATGGCACCAAATATTAGTTGTTTTGTGGATTCCCTGGAAAAACACTGATTCATTCCAGACAGGGAGCAGGCAGAGGCTCAGAGAGCACCTCATGGAGGGGCTGGATGAACCTCATGGTGGTGCTGGGTGAAGCTGCAATGTCAGAATTTAGGGAATGTGGGTTGAGGGTGGATTTTGGAGTCTCCCCCAGTTTGTGACACTGGCTGGAGGATGCTCTGGGTGACCTACTCACATGGCACTGGGGACATCACTCCTGGCGTCCAGGACCAGGTCAGGGACACAGTGCTCGTCCTCATTGCACCCATTCCAGAAAGGCACCTGAGGGGGACAACAGCAGCAGCTCAGGGACCATCTGAGCCCCAGGCTGGGGACACGGGGGGGACCTCAGGCTGCAGCAGCACCCAACCCCTCCTGTCACAGGACAGGTCAAGGTAAACAGCAAATGTTACACCCAGAGACCAACCTGCTGAGCAGGTGCCTGATAAAAAGCCCCCTGGGAGGTGGGTGCTGCACCTACCGAGACCCTGAGGGAGGTGGGCCACCCATCATCCAGCATGGGGCCGTGCTCCGGGTGCTCCAGCTCGTAGTCGATGGAGAACGTCACTGGCTTCACGTAGTCTGCTGTGTCCTGGGGGTGGGAAGGGCCAGTGAGGAGGACAGGGCTGCTTCTGGGGAGGGCAGGACCACAGGGTGCCCCCTCAAGGGGTGACAGATCTGTCCTGCAGCCCCACCCGGGGCTCATCGGGCCGGTAAGGAAGCTCCAGGAGCTCCCCAGGGGTGCAGAGATGCTCTGGGGTGAGACGCTTCTGGGGCTAAATCACAGGCTCCATCTCGAGCTCCAGCCTCAAACTTCCCAGAAGTTCACTGCAGTTCAGGCCAGGGCTTGGGGCCAGGCCAGTCTGGCAGCTCGGTCCTGCCTGGCCTCCACAATATTCTCATCATTCCCTGGGAATGTTTGATTCTGGCCAGGTTTGTGCATCAGCTGCTCCCCGCGAGCGAGGCAGAGGGATCCACCAGCTCTGCACCCAGGGGTGGGACCCTGATGGTTAGAGGGTGCAGAGGGTGAGCCTGGCAGGGACTGGCACTTGGTTCCCGATGGAAACAGTGAGTGTTTTGGAGCGGGAGGAGCAGCCTGCCCCGGGGATCGGGAGTGCACGCCCTCCCCGAGGGCACGGCCGGCGGCTCGTGGATCAGAGCACACACAGGCTGAGCCTCAATGAAGTCAGCGCCTGGGGACCCAGCAGCTGCCACGTGCTGGCAGCTCCCTCCCTGACCACATCAAACCCAGCGGGAAGCGACCCAGGCTGCGGGATGACGCTCATTCCCAGCCCCGGGAAGCCTTTGAGGCTCCGATAACAACATCCCGGCGCATCCCCGTGGAGGAGAGGAGAGGAGAGCGCCTTCGCCAGGGCCGGCCGGGGAGGAGACCCCCGCCCTGAGCTCCCCCAGACTCACCAGGACGTGGAAGGGGAGCCTCTGGCAGTGCTCCTGGCCGGCCGGCAGCAGCAGCCCCCTCTGTGCCGGCCGCTCGCCACCCTCGTCCAGGTGAGCCCTCGGCGTGTAGCGGCGCTCGTCCAGCGTGGCGTTGAACCGCAGCCCTGCGGGACAGCGGGGTCAGGGCTCTGCCGGGCTCACACACGGAGACACCCCCTAAAAGGGTGGGCTCCTGTGCCCCGGGAGCTGCCCGGCAGGGAGCACTCTGAGAGAAACCCGGGAAGATCAGGGTGTGGCCAGCGCTGCCTGTTTGTGACGGACATTCCCGTTGGGCAGAGCAGCTGCTCTCCAGGAGGAGCTTTAGAAAGGCATTGTTGCATTTGCTGCCAGACACTGCTCTGCATCCGGGCAGGATACACAATGATGTGCTCTCCTATGTTCACATGGAGGCCTGGAGCTGTTCTGGAGGTATCCTACCCTCACATGCTCCTGGCCTGGATGCTTTATGGAGATGGTTTGCTTCCTGCACTGCTGTTGGAAAGAGGCTGAAGATTCCCAGCCCAGTTCCAAGCAGGGTGGGATTTAATAGAACCACAAAATCTCAGAATGGTTTGTGTTAAAAGCACCTCAAAACCCATCTCGTTCCACCCCCAGGGACACCTTCCACTAGCCCAGGTTGCTCCAAACCCCGTCCAACCTGGTCTTGGACACTTCCAGGGATGCAGGGGCAGCCACAGCTTCTCTGGGAAACCTGGGCCAGTGCCTCCCCACCCTCACAGACAAGAATTCCTTCCCAATATCTTATCTATCCCTGCCCTCTGGCAGTGGGAAGCCATTCCCTCTTGTCCTGTCCCTCCATCCCTTGTCCCCAGTCCCTCTCCAGCTCTCCTGGAGCCCCTTTAGGCCCTGGAAAGGGCTCTCAGATCTCCCTGGATCCTTCTCTTCTCCAGGTGAACCCCCCCCAGCTCTCCCAGCCTGGCTCCAGAGTAGAGGGGCTCTCCCTACACCACTGTGATGCAAAACATGGATAAGGAAGGAGGTCCCATCGGCCCTATCCATGGGGTGGCTCTTCTGGGTGGAAACAAGTGTAAAATCAAATAAATAAAGACAACCCCACTCAGCTTTTTATCCTGCAGGAGGAAAGCATGGGATTGGGCAGCACAAAACAAAACTCCTGCTGGGGGGGGATGGGAGCTTTTCCTTTGGCTCTGCTCAGTTCCTGGTTTTCCTCTGACAGGGGGATGAGCCACTCTTGCTTCCCCCGCGCCGCTGAGTCACCGGGAAGCATCCGGGGGGAGACTCGGGGTCACGGCAGCGTGTGGGGGTTTGATAGCAACAGCTTCCCAGAGATTCCCTGGGATATGAGGGAAAACACGCACATGTGGTCGGCAGCTGTGTCCTGCTGCTGCAGGGGGAGGAGGGATGAGCTCTGTGGGACGTGGGCCGGGCGCAGCCCCTCCTGCCCTGCCTGTGGTGACACCCCTGTCACACGTCCCACGGCACAGCAAAGCTCAGGGGAACAGGGGAGAGAAGGGGTTAAACACAGGGAAGGTTCATCCTTGGGGTGTTCCTTGGCAGAGCCACTATCCCTGCTACCCTCAGCCTGGATAGGGACAAATCAGGGGGTGAACAGGGATGTGGCAGGTGGTGTCCAAATGCTCCCTGGGGACCCTCAGACGAGCTCAGTTGGTCAGAGCATGGTGGTAACAATGCCAAGGTCAGGGGTTTGATCCCACTCAGTTAAGTGTTGGACTTGGTGATCCTTGTGGGTCCCTTGCAACTCAGAATGTTCTGTGGAGTTTGTGAGGAACGTGCTCTCCTCCACACACTCCAGTGCCTTGAACCACAGACTCACGGGATCAGCTGGGTTGGAAAAGACCCCTGAGATCATCGAGTCCAACCTCTGGCCCAGCCCCACCCCGTCACCCAGCCCATGGCACTGATGCCACCTCCAGTCTGTCCTTAAACACCTCCAGGAACGGGGACTCCACCCCTTCCCTGGGCAGCCCCTTCCAGTGCCCAAAAGGGTTTCCCTTGGCAAACTCTGGGTGCTGCCTCGGGGCTGGAGGCCCAACCAAGGCACAGGCTGGGATTGTGCCCCGGGACAGCCCTGCCCTTACCCACAGTGGCCGTCTGGAAGCGGGCCGAGAGGAAGACGGCGGTGAAGCAGAGCAAGGCTGACATGCAGGTTGCATCCTTCCCATTCCTCTTGCAGTCCTTGGTGAAGATGTTGATCTTGGGGGGCTCGAAGCGGATGCTGGCGTTGATCTGGACCACGCTCCGGGACCTGTGGGATGGGAACAGGTGGAGGGATGAGCTGTGGCACATCACCCTCACCCTACGAGTCCCCCAGACCTCCAGATTTGCACTTTTCACACCTTTTCACTCTTTTGCCCAACATCAAGAGGGTGCTGAGGGAGAGCAAAGGCCCCTTGTGTGAACACAGCACCCCAGTGTGGCCCACCTCAGCTGGGCACAGCCACCCTCTGTCTCAACAACTTCAAACGCTAATCAATGTTTGAAAATATTCAACTGTTATTATAAAATAAGGCCAGAGGGAGCCTGGGCAAATCACCACAAATCAGTTGGCTGGTTTGAAACTCCTGGAAAATGATGAACCCCTAAGATGATGAAATTCAGTGCAAAAAAAACCCAACCCTCTGGCATCTTTCTAGGGTCCAACAGGATTGAAACCCCAGAGCGAAAATTGAAACCCCACAGACCCTCCCACCAGACAGGGGGTTGTTATTGTGGAAAGGGGGGTCAGATTGTTGGGAAATCAGTTTTGCCTGGAAAAATACGAGAAGGCTGCAGTGGGATTTGGGGCAGAGGGTGCCCAGGGGGGCCCAGCTCACCAGAGCAGCACCGCGTTCCCCAGCGAGCCCACGGCCAGGTCCACGAGCCCGTCCTCGTTCAGGTCCAGCTGCCCGTGGATGCTGCACCCAAAATACATCAGGCCTGGAGCCAGGTCAGCAGCTGCAATCCTCTGAAAAGGAATGAGCACAGTCCAAGCTGGAACATCCCCTCCTGCCAAGGGTTTGCCGTGCCAGCCTCCACCACGCTGCTGAAGGATCCAAGGGATTGCACCAACCATAAATTTCCAGGGATTGGGAGAATTTCTCTTTGGAGACACCATCCAGAGATTTCTGCTGAATTCACTCTGTGTAATTACTGTCTCTCACAAGTGTGAGAAAAGAGTAAATAGCAATAAATTCTTTATTTATGTATTTATTTATCATTAATAAATAAATCTATAGCAATCCCTTGCACCGAGTGCTGAGCATCACCTCTAATTTCAAGCATGTTTTCCATACTTTATGAAATCATGGGATAATCCAGGTTGGAAAAGCCCTTTAAGGTTGCTGGGTCCAACCACTCCCTCAGCACTGCCAAGGCCACCACTAAACCACGTCCCCAAGTGCCACACCCACAGGGATGGTGACTACACCACTGCCCTGGGAAGCCTCTTCCAGACCTTGAATTCCAATGCTTTGTCTGGGATGTCTCAGAAGAGGAAATATCTGGCCACAACAATTAACAATTCAGTACTGCTCATGCTCCATCAGCCCTTAAAATGGGCATAAATGACAAAGAGGACCAGGACAAGGGAAGCACCTGCTTGTACTTCTTGAGGACGGTCTCTTGGAAGCCCAGGAAGATGTAAATGGCTCCCTGGTGCTCGTCCTCCAAGGGTGCCCCCACCACCAGGTCGTTGTAGCTGTCCTGGTTGAGGTCGGGCACGGCGGCGATGCAGGAGCCGAAGCGCGAGTTCTGGTAACTCTGCAGGTCCACCAGGGCTCCACTGGGAACAAAGTGGCTCTGCTGGGCCAGCCAGAGAGAAAAGGGAGCAAAACAACCCCAAAACCATCAGCAGTAGCCTGGCAAGAGGAGGAGCCCCTCAAAGCAAGCAAACGAGATGCATTAATCAATACGGGAGTGACGTTAATCAACGTGGGAGTGATTTCTCCGAGGAAGGAGGTGGGAGCACTGCCGGGGCTGTGGGAATGTCTGTGGGACACCTCCCTGGGGAGGGGTGAGCCCCTGAACCCCACACCAGCCCCATGTCTGCTTTGCCTTCCTTTTATAACATCCTACATAAATAGTTGCATCAAATGTGTGGTTTGGGTATGGGCACCCCACTGCTCATGGTGGGCTCTGCACCCTTGGGTGTAGAACACCTGCTCGCTGCCCAGGTGCCCCCAGAGCCTCATGGATTTGGCTCAGAAACTGGATTTTGAGTCAGATTGGAGGGTGGCAGGAAAGCTGATCCTGCCCCAGTGCACCAGGAAAGGGGACAGGGGTGGCACATGTCCCGTCCCCATGGCAGAGAGAGCGACCCTCCTGCTCCCCAGAGCCCTGTGCCCGGCCCAGCCTCTGGGTGCCCTTGGAGGGAACGGGTTTGTGGGGGGTAAGGTGGATGGAGATGTTTCTCCTGAGACACACCACGTTGCAAAGCCCCTATTTTGAGCCCTGTGGGGGTTGGGAGCAGCAGGACCTCACTTTGCACCTCCCATAGCTCCACCAGCGGGGATGTTGTTTGATAGGAGCCGGTGGGTGCACAAGGCAGGGGGTGGCACAAGGGGACAAAGCTGCCACCACAGCACCCAAAAGGCTCATCTCCTATTCCAAATCACCCCCTGGTGCTGCCACGTACCTCCTGCAGGGTGTAGACATAGACCTTGCCCCTCTCCCTGCCCTCGCTGAAGAACATGGGGGCTCCCACCAGCAGCACGTCGGTGACGCCGTCGCCGTTGACGTCCAGGGAGTTGATCTCGCTGCCGTAGTAGGAACCAATCTGGAGGAGACAGGAGAGGGTGGGAGCGATGCCACCCTCCCTCGTGGGGACATTCCAAGCCCTGCCACTGCTCCAGCCCCGCAGTTTGGAGCTGTGGGTGCAGCGACAGCCAGGACACCCTCGGGACAGTTTGCAGGACAAAAGGGGAAGGTTGATTTTTCCAGGGGGATAAATCAGTGCAGCATTCCTGGCTGGCATTACCTGCTCTCCTTTCAGGGCCTGGTGGATGGTGAGGTCCCTGTTGCTGTGCATGCTGAAGAGGATGACCTTCCCAGTGTGGTTGAACCTGGGAGCTCCCGCCACGTAAATCCGCTCGTGCTTGGTGGAAACGACGGAGGAGACGGTGTAACCTGGGAAGGGGGTGGGCACAGGGTGAGAACTCCCAGCTCCTGCTCCCAGGGTCTGCTTTCCATCAGCCCCCAGCTCGGGACACAGCTCTGGCCACTTCCCAGAGCGGGAAGCTTAGAAATGCAGATTTTTCCAAGGATAAAGTCACCCGGATCAACCCCATCGCCCCGGCCCTGGGCTTCGAGCCTCCTGCTCAGGTGCTGCCACACCTTGGGCAGCACTGCTGTGCCAGGAGTTTTGGCACTGCCTGGCAAACCCCACATAAATCCTTCTTTCATCCAAGGTGAATCCAATTCCTGGACTTTAAAGCGTTTTATCCCAGGGGTCACATCAAGTCAAACAAACCCCAGCAGGGTGCTGAGCACCGGGAGTGCAGCTTCTGCTGCTCCAATCCTTCGAGTGCCAGGAACACCAGGCAGGAAGGGCTTTGCTGATGCAAAATCCTGGTTTTCAACCCCAGCTCCAGGTTTCTGAACCTTCACACTCAAGTTTTAAATGCTACTTAAACTATTAGAGGTGAAACAGGTTGCCCAGAGAAGCTGTGGCTGCCCCTGGATCCCTGGAAGTGTCCAAGGCCAGGTTGGACAGGGTTTGGAACAACCTGGGCTGGTGGAAGGTGGCCCTGATCATGGATTCTTCCAGGTCCCTTCCAACCCAAACCATTCCAGGATTCTATGAAACTCAAAGTTTCACCAACCATGAAACTGGATGGGATCACCTGGAATCACATCCAGTTGAATTTTGAGTATCTCCAGGGATTACTGGGGTTTACAAACTCCTTTTCCTGGTCACAGGCCTTACGTGGGGTCCCTGTTTCCCTAAATATTCCCCTTTTTGGGGGATGATCCTAAGCCAAGCATCAGCTCTGAAACCCCCAGGTACTGATACACCAGCATTTCCTTAATATTCCTGGATTCCTCACTCCAGTCAGTGGGAAAGACAGAGCCCAGCTGAGCTCCCACACGCTGCCATGGGCACCCCTTGAAGACAACTGGGACCCCAGGGGGACACTCTGCTGTCCCCCCACGGATGTCCCACGTGTCCAGAGGCAGTCTGTGATCCCAGGGAAGAGCCCTGATGACCCCCCAGCATCCCACCCTGCAGGGCAGCCACAGTTCTGGAGAGAGGTTTCATTTTCCAAGGCGGGCGGATATTTTTGCTGCAGCCACACATGGAACGGATTAACCCAGCAGGTATTTCCTCCCTAGGCATGAAATTCCATCTCTGCTTTTAAACCATTCCAGGAAGTTCTGTGGATGACCCGGGCTGGCTGTGGCTCAGCTGTTCCCGAATTTAAATCCCTTTTGTGCTGCACACCAGGGTGGGAGCCGGGCTCTTCCCAGGTGAGGATGCTCCTGTGCCGCATCCCCGAGGGATCACACCCGTGGGATCCCAGGCACAGAACCACACTGGCATTAGTCACCTCGGGAATATGCTGCTCTTCCCATTATTAAGCACAGAATCCTGAATTCCCCCCTGGCAGCACAACCTCATTCCCCTCTCTTACCTAAATACGCCCCGTGATTTTTCAGCTCCTCTGGGAACTCCTGGAGATAAGATTCCCTCAGGGGAATGACCTTCCCACTGCTGGTTTCCTTCAGGACAGCTCCATTCCAGTCATAGGCTCCCACTGCCCCCAGTAGGATCCCGTCCTGTGGGAGAGCAGGGGGAGTTTGAGGGGATTTCTTTCCAGGTGGAGGCAATTCCCCCCCTCCCTTCCCATGCAGACCAAGGAAACCATTCCTCAAAGCACACCTGGAGAGCTGGAGGTTTTTCCACCTGCTGGAATGACACTTCAGCCCTAGTTATATATTTTCAGAGTGCTTTTCCTCCCTAGGAAAACCCCTGGACAGAATTCCCTGCTGGCTTTTCTCTGGGCCTTGCCAGAGCCTTTGGGGTGGGGGAGTTGAGCATCCCCCTGCAGTGACAAGTGCCTTCCTCCACATCCCAGGACATCCTTCCCAAGCCTTTGTGGCATCAGGAGGAGCAGCTTATGCTCATGGGAGTGATTGAACATCATAATTATTAATTTGCCCCAAATCTCCATCTCCCCCCTGCAGAGGGTGGTGACAAACAGCACAAGGCAGGAGGAACAAAACCCCACATTTACTCTCTTACTTCCACAACATGGGATGAAAATCCAGTCTGGGACATTTCCAGGCCAAAGGAGATCTCATTCTTGTTGGTTCCTTCGAAAAACAAAAGGGAATTCGTGTTTAGTGAAGAGTTTTGTTTCCTGGGGGGGTCTTTGGTGTGTTGGGGTGGGATGAGCACAAAGGATCTCAGCTGACACAAATCCCAGTCACAGAATCATGGAATGGTTTGGGTTGGAAGGGACCTTAAAGCTCATCCAGT